AGACTGGCCCTTAGCATGGGATGAGCTGTCTGTGGATGAACACTGGGAAGCGGTAAAAAAGATTATTCATACAGCGATCTCGGATACCGTCCCTTTAGTCACAGCACAGCCAAAAAGAAAATCATCATGGTTAAAGAGAGGCACGCAGCGTATTCTGCAAGCAAAGAGGAAGGCTTGGTTTACGTGGCGCGTATCTGGAAGCCAGATCGACCATGATGCATACCTGGAACTCAGGAACCGGTGCAATGCAAGAGTCAGGAGGGACAGAAGGTCATTCCAGGCTAACCTTGCTAAAAAACTCCTGGCAAACCCGAAGAATTTGTACCGATTCATGTCGGAAAGGAAACCAACCAACCAAGGGGCTTGCGCCTTAGTAGGCCAAAACGGTCAATATCTCACTAGTCTGGAGATGGCTGAAACATTCAGTTTAGCCTTCGCCAAACAGCTAAACAGCAATGTGGGTATTACCGTTACGAACCAAAATGGTGGCATGACTATTTCACAGGAGGAAGACCAAATAGCCACCCCTCAAATAAACCCTGCAATAGTACTGAGAAAGCTGCAGCGACTTATACCTGGGAAGTCCCCAGGTTGTGATGACATCAGGCCATCTGTTCTGAAACAGTGCGCCGAAGCTCTCTGTAGGCCTTTATGCGACTTGTTCCAACACTCCATGGAATCGGGGAAACTGCCAAAGGAATGGAAAAGAAGCATCCTTTCTCCGATCTTCAAGGGTGGGGATAGGCAAAATCCCACCAGTTATAGACCAGTAGCTCTACTCCCAGTGGTATCGAAAGTACTGGAAAGTATTATTGATGATCACATCAGGGAATATTTGGATAGGTCTAAAATACTCCATGAAGCCCAACATGGTTTCAGGAAAGGAAGATCCTGCGTCACTAACTTATTATCAGCTTGGGACGATTGGACATCATGCTGGGATATGAATGTTCCTGTCCATGTGATCTTTCTAGACTTTGAGAAGGCATTTGACACTGTTCACCATGACCTTCTCCTACACAAAATAAGCCAGGTAGGTCTAGGTAAACCACTTCTGTCATGGTTGAAGGACTACCTAACTGAAAGGCAATTTTGCACCAAGGTCAACCGAGTCCGATCATCTTGGCACAGCTCGTCATCAGGAGTGTCGCAGGGTTCTATCCTGGGACCACTGATGTTCTTGATTTTTATCAATGATTTACCATGCCGTCTAAACTGCCCGACTCTTCTATACGCTGATGACGTAAAGATATGGAGGGCGGTAAAGTGTCCGGAGGACTCAGATAGGCTGCAGGCAGATCTAAGGCTTCTGGAAGACTGGGCGGTAACCAGTGGAATGACTTTCAACCTGAAAAAGTGCAAAGTAGTGAAGTTACGCACCTGTAGACTGCAGAATGCAAGTTACACCCTGTGCAATGAAAGCTTGTCCTGCTCAACGTCGGAACGTGACTTAGGTCTAGTTCTAACGGAGAAAATGGACACAAGCGTGAATTACACGGGGGATGTAGCGAGGGCATATGCGGTCATACACTTTACACATAGACAATTAGGTGCACTCACTCCTGAGCTCTTTCTAAGGTTGTATAAAACATACGTCAGACCGCATCTTGAAGTGCATAATATCATTGCACCCCCACTGCTTAAAAGAGACGCCAACCTCTTGGAAAGAGCCCAACGACGGGCAACAAAAGGAGTGGTTGGACTCCGAAATAAACCATATGACGAAAGGCTGAAGAAATTAGGCCTATTCACACTCAGTTACCGTCGCCTGAGGGGGGATTTAATCACTGCCTACAAAATAACAAATGATCAGAATCACCCGAACAAAGGTGTTCTGCCATTGAGTAGGTATAGGCTCCCTCGTGGAAATCCCAGAAGGATAGCTCATCAGAGGGCAAGGACCCGGGTGCGCTCCCACTTCTTTTCCCTGCGGGTTTGCCGTCCCTGGAATTCCTTACCGGCAGATGTAGCTATGGCACCATCTGTGGACGCCTTTAAGCGAAGGCTGGACAACCTTGCAGTGACACAAGGACTGTATCCAAATGGCCTATCCCCTTAAAATCGCATATACCATTCAAAGATAGACAATTAAACTGGTCGTTTTACTTCTTCACATTCCCTTCAGTCTTACTCTCCTGACAGCTTTAACTACACTTATTATTATTATTGTTATTATTATTATTATCATTATTACTGGTATATATTATATATATATATGTATACCGGTTGACTGACTGTTGTTACGTTTTCTTATTTTTTTTTCTCTGTCTGTTAGTCTGAATACCTTTACTAATTATATCTATTATTATTATTATTATCTCTTTTCCATTGACGACGATACCGAAAGACTAACTGGTGAAAGGATCAACTCCATTCACAGTAGTAACAGTCTTAACACACTTCATACTACAGACGCCATATAATTAATCCCAGCACTACTCCTGTTGGAGTCAACCAAAGCTACGACAGTCGAGTGGCGGGACGAGCTACACAGACGTTTACCAAAGATCAGGAACCTCTACCTTACAATCAAGAGGCGAGCGCAAAGAAATCAAATTGGTTTATACTAGCTCGTAAAAAGATATTGGATATTGGATATTGGATATTCTTCATGCGGTACATTCAAGTACATCGTTACTCAGATGCTCAGTGCAAGTGGATATAAACCAAATATGCTTGTATTTTCTACCGGTGAGTACATTAGCGTCCGTTGTTCTTTTTTCTAATAATTTGAATAGAAATATCTACTTTGTGCTTAGACAAATAGTATGTCTGGTTAACTTGACAAGTAGTCTTACTCTCCTGACAGCTTTAACTACACCTATTATTGTTATCATCATTATTACTGGTATATATATACCGGTTGACTGACTGTTGTTACGTTTTCTTATTCTTTTTCTGTCTGTTAGTCTGAATACCTTTACTAATTATACCTATTATTATTATTATCTCTTTTCTATTGACGATGATACCGAAGGACCAACTGGTGAAAGGATCAACTCCATTCACAGTAGTAACAGTCTTAACACACCTCATACTACAAACCACATATAATTAATCACTGCACTACTCCTTTTGGAGTCAACCAAAGCTACGGCAGTCGAGTGGCGGGACGAAGTACGCAGACGTTTACCGAAGATCAGGAACCTCTACCTCACAATCAAGAGACGAGCACAAAGAAATCAAATCGGTTTATACTAGCTCGTAAACACGATATTGGATATTGGAGACCCAGCATGTATTTGGGACTACACAAGAGACATCTGTTGACGGTTAGAATAGAGTCATGGTGTAGCTCACGTTAGGGGAATAACTTCTGCATTAGAATTATATGGACATTGTTTTCAACGGCAGTGAAAAGCCCTTATGTTTAGTAATAAGCAGTTAACATATACATTAACTTCACAAGGAGATATCTCTTCATCCATTGGATTTCCAAGTCAATTTTATAAGGTGTTCATAAAATTGCCACTAGAATTTCGACACCCACTGGTCAAACTGTTGTGATGAAAATGATTTCATATGCTTGGGCTAGTGATTTGTACTACAGTTCAAATTATAGTAATCACAAAGTTTTACAGCTAGGAATTCATAAAATCTCTCACTTTTCATGCAGTGTGCTTATACTGTTCGATCGCTTACCCCGAAAGTTTCGGGGTTTCCATGCCACGAAGTAGTTGTGTTATCGTTCGCTAGTGAGTCAAGTATTAAATGCGGCATATCATTAACTACAGTAACAAAAATCATGACTTGCACACATGAAGATTGACAAAGTTGTTAGTTGTAAAAGAGTCAGGATATTTTCAGTTCTGTCGGCAATATGAGATGGACATATTAAATTGAATTTTCAAAGCGATTTAGGAACGTCACAGTGTAATTTGGGTCATATATCATATCTCTGAAAGCCAGTTGATTACTATACTAAACTACCTGCTGATGTACGGTATTTAAAGAGGGATTTTAAGTAGCTAGAGGCGTTGATTGAAAGAGCATCATAATCACAAGTTTGTATGGCTCTTTTGGTAATGATCTACTATTGACAACTCTTGGCTGCTTATGTCACAATAAGGAGTATAGGTGAGATTAAAGGACAGTAAGCTACCTGTGGATACCAATTGCACTTATCATTTTCAAAAGGTATTTCATACACGTTTTCTGGGAAATTTTGCTCTTGGTGGCATAGGTATCAACGCTCTGGAGTAGCAGACAGTGAAAGAAAATATAGACAACCCCCAGAAATCATTAAGTCATTTTTGAATTTGCCAATAATTAAGTGTGGCTATTCATAAAACTGACGTAGATAGCCGCATCAACCCTGTGCTGTCAGTTATGGATGAAACAAACGAAGAAGAAATTAAAATCATAACTTAACTCGAGTGCTTACATGCAGACTAAACTACTACTCATAGCTTTGTCATTTTTTCCCAACAACTCACTATCAAAGATCGTAAAAACATTCGATCATAGCTTTGGTTATCATGCATGATTGTGATGAAATCCATCAGTATTGAATATTATCGCTTGTCAGAAAATTCTGAAACGTTATGAGCATTATCACCGTTATGCTTGTTTCTCAAACACTTCAAGTCTATATTCTATGTACTTTTGCTCATGTCTTCGCCATTCACTTTTTTTATAATATGCACCATTTTGGCAAATTTATCTCAAGTATCATGTTAAAAAGCATTTTTGCGTTATATCGCCTTAATAGCTTTCCTGATTTGTGAACTTAATTATTCGCCCCAGTATTTCCAGAGTAATCCTAAAGACAGCTGACTGAAATAAAGCTAACCACCTTTATTTTCTATTTTGTTTGTAAGGATGTTGTTTGGACTGCAACTTATTTATTTAATTTTCCTGTAGCACATTATTTGGCCCTGTAAACTTTCACAAAATTTCCACCGATACAATTTTGAGTGAAATTTTCGTGAATGTTTTGAAATATTTCACATGTGTATGCGAGTTTCACCAGCTGATTCCGGCAACAGCGGAATCTTATTTGTTGGATTCAATCAAGATTATGGTAAGTGTGTCATGTACATGGATTGTTGATAGTTTTGAGTCGATTTAATTACTTTGCCTTATATTTACAAGTCGTGTAGGTTAGTTGCTTGTTAGGCAACTAATCAGGCCCTTGTAACACTTAATGTTGGTAAAGTGTTCAACATAATCACCCAGTGAATATTTGCACAGACTGGTAACAGGTCTGTAATTAACTTGTTGGTGAGGAACTAATTTTATACTAACCGTGGCATAGTAGCCAGGGAAGAAATAATGAAAATTTACAAAACTATTATGTGTTTGCTTACCAAGTCATGTAACAACATCAAATTGTCTCAGTTAAGGAAATCAACTAGAGGAATGACAAAAGACTAAGAGAAAAGTAAAATTCACATAAAAAGTGTGAAAAATATATAACAGGATTCTAAAGATTTAGGGGAAAATACAGCTTGGATTCGTTTTCTTCATTGTTGCCGATATTCAACCATACTGTTTACAACAAATAATAATATCCTAGGTTGTTGGTCACATTTATTGTTTAAGGGCCAAAGATTTTATTTGACTGGTTGAGTGAGAATTCGTATGTCTCAGTGAATGAGACACGACTAAAGTGAACCTGAGTGTCTAGTTATCGATTTTGCTGTTTCACGGACCTGAAAAAGTATCTAATGCTTTCACCACAGTTTGGATTAACACTCGAAGGCTTCGTGTTTGAACACCGTTTCCTGATCTGACCGCGAAGGCCTCATTCATCCCGCTCTTGTTGTAATTGTAAGCTGAGGTAGCTGATAGTTCGACTTGCCTAACACTGTGTCATAATGGTGTACCTAGGCGACTGTTAACAACTTCATTAGTTATACAAAAAAGAAACCGACACTGACTGCACTGCAACTTTTGTTTCATCCCTTTGACGGAATGTGAGATATGTGAAAGTATAGCTCACCACAAATTTGGGGTTGACCATTTATTTTTTCAGGGTTAATCTTAAAATCTTGTAAGTTATTCGAGATGTGAATTTTTGTGAAGCATAAAACTTTGTGTCTTGTTAATCATTTTTATTATGGAAATGCATTTAACTAGTTCTAAGTGAATCTATTGTTGTACATTTGGTGTTAGACGCTGAGAATTCTCCTTACTGCAATTTTCAGACAGTTTCATTCAAGAATTCCGTCTGTGCTGTAAATATTCCCTATAAACTAAAACGTTCCATCACCGACAATTTGAATTGTCAGTCTCATCCTGCATATAACTCGTCTAGGAAATATAAGTGCTCATAGAACTTCTTGGTTATTTGAAACTAACAAGTTTCGATTGGTATTACTACTGTAAGTTTAAAACTTTCAGTACTTTTGAGGCATGTAGACTGTTTGTATGATAGTCGTTCTCTTTTGAAAAGTTCTGTTTACAGTTGTTGTCAGAATAAGAAGTTCACAGTGTATTTATTGATTTACATCAGGTTACAATTATTATTCCCTTGGGTTCCCAGTGAAACACAGGGCTTCAACAGCACATCTCCACACCACTTCTCCCTGTTCTCCGCTGTCCTCTTTGGCCGTCTCCGTGATTGCCCGTAGGTTCTTATCTTCTCACATGATCCCCTCCATGTCACCCCTGGACGTCCAACGCGTGTCGTTTCCCAATGGGGTTCCACCCGAGGGATTATCTGGAGCAAATTGTCAACCAACGGTTCTTTCAGTGTATGTCCGATCCACCTCTACTTTTCTTCGGAATCTTTCTTGAACGATAAGTCCTTGATAGGTTCATTCCCAGAGTTTCTTGCTGGTAATCCTTTCTGGCTATCTGATCTTCACTATGGAGCAAAAAGGGCGACTGTTGATAAAAGTCTGCAGTGACCTGTTGGAAATGCTTTCCGTGATGTGTGCACCAAGTTTCTGACCTATATAGAAGGACTGACTGACTCAACATTCTTTGATGCTGAAAATCTGAATCTTGTTCTTAATGCTAGCTGAATGCAGTAGATTTCCAGTTACGATTGTACAAATTAAAAATGAACAGGTTCAGACGTCGGTTCGAGAAGTAGCTGTAAGGAAGTGTAAGCTGCCTAACTGAAACCATGAAGACATTGAGTACTAGTGGTTAATTAAGCATTATGACTCGGTTCAAATTAAAAGTAATAAGATCTTACTATTTTATTTTAATAATCATGAATATCTTACTCCTAGATACCTATTACCCTCTGTAATGTCTTGGCGGTTTATTCTACTCCTTGTGACCTTTTCTTTCCAAATCATTGAGAACTACTGAAGCACCTCGATACGTATCTCTACACTTTGCTAATGCCTTTATCTGAGTAATTGTATCCTTTTTTTATTCCTTCACGTTCCCAGTGGAACATAGGGCTTCAAACTGGAGGCTTTAAGTTTCGGTAGCAGTGGTGTTTACTTTTTACGGGATGGGGTTGCTGCTAGCCTCATGACCAACCATACGTCTCTGCCAGTCTTATTACTGGCTTAGAGAGGTAAAGGAGGAGTGCCTCGGCTAGGGATTGAACCCCGGACCACGTGATGTGTGGTCGGCGCACATTGTATCCTTTAAAGTATATTATTTATGTATGAATATTGTAACAAAGTGAATTATGTTTCCGTTTCGCTGCCTTATTTTCATATCTGATAGGATGTTTTGCAGTTGGTATGCAAAATGGATTTAGAATTTTTAATTCTGACCCTTTGAAACAATTAGAACGTTATGGTAAGTCATTCTGTTGTGCGTACTTAATCCAAAATAAACTAGTTTGATTTCACTATCTTTGGATATTATATTTTGGTTGTTGTTGTTGTGTGTGTGTGTGTGTTAGAAATGAAGTAGCAACATTTCAATAGATTATTTTAAATAAAATGGTGTTCAACAGCGTTACCATTTTAAAAAAAGCTGTATGTCTGTATATGTCTGCATATATCAATTTTCAGGCATTTTGACGATATCTGATTATTGTAGGGGAATATGTTCTGCCCAGGAAGTTTCGCCATTCAAACTTCGACAACCCACCAATAGATTACATAGAGTTATCACTATCGTTTCCCGTCGGTGACACAGCGGCAGAATGTTCGCCAACCACGTAGCGTAGATGGTTCGGTGTTTGATTCCAGACCGACGCACTTCTTTACTTCACTGAGCCAGTAATAAGACTGGTAAAGAGGGAAGGTTGGGCGTATGAGGCTAGCAACCGCACCCGGTAAAAATGGGTACCACTGCTACCGAAACTTGAAAGCTTTAGCTTGAAACCCTATGTTCCACTGGGAACTTAAGGGAATATAATAAAAATAAATCACTGTTGTTTGGCATCCTGTAACAATGACAACTATCACGGTTCTCGTTTAACTTTGCTGTAGATACACTGATGAGGCTTTTTTTCGTTTATCTTCAACTTTTCAAGAGTGGATTGTGTTTATATTCAAACAGGTTAACTGATTTGGGACATGTAGACTAATATAGTTTTCAAGTATTAGTTTTGTAGAGATTTTGTTTGATTGGATGGAGGATTTCATCAAGAGCTGACATCAGTTAGAGAACAACTGGAAAACCAACTGGGAGTACTGGACAGCTGTTCATATCGTCCTAGTTTAGGACTCTTCACAGTATGCACCTACCCCCACTGTTCGAACCCAGGACCTTCTGGTTACAAGGCGAGCTCGTAGACCATTCAGCCACTGGGACCCTATCCAATGGCCAGTCCATGAATTCTAACTTCTGCCTATTCACGACATACCGCGACCATTTCGCAATGTCTTCTTCGATGATTTACTGCCTCATCTTCAACCTACTGTACCCTACTGGTCACGGCTTCCCACCAGAATCCCAGGTCGCCACGGTGGGTGCGTACCGATGAGAAGTCCCAAACTAGGACGAAACAGCCGTCCAGTACTCCCAGGTTTTCCAGTGGTTCTCTAATTGATGTCAGCTCATAGTGAAATCCTCCATCTAATATAGTTTTGTTTAAGTATGACTAATCAAATCTAGAGCATCTTTGAAATGCGTTTTGTTCTGGTCAAAGTAACGATAGTTCCACAAGTGTAGCTTGCATCAACTACTAGTTATAATAATAATAGATTTATTCCAAACAGTACTTTTGATACATATATTGAGTTATCAGCTCATGTGATACAACATTTCATATAATTTTCTCATTATATAATACAGGGGTAATAATCAACCAGGTCATTTACATGGGTAATATTGTTGAATAAGAATATAAGATTTTAGTGAAAATATTGACCACAACATTTTAATGAAAGAAAGAATCAAAAGGGTTGTTTACTTAGCGTTTCTCAGTAAGTTAGTACTGTCATCCTCTAAACTTTCCTCACCATTTAAAATATGTGCCAGATAGGAGTATTGTAGGGTTTCTTTACTTAGTCGTCCGAGCAAAAAGTCTTCTGTGGTTTGTTCTAGTTCTACCTACTTATCTGATGAGATGAGACAAGGAGAGAGTTGTGTTATAGAGAGGATACTCAGGGTCAGATAAGGATAATATTCACTGATTTCTTGTATGAGTCCATGTGTCCACTATCTGCAACAGTATTAACGAGTTGGTTTAGCAACACCTCACTCACCCACTCTTTCGAAATGTAAAACAGTCTTTCTTAAGTAACCCGGGAAACATTAAGAGGGAGCAATAAAGGCGGAAACCAGTTTGGAAATCTTCTGCTTCACTTAGCCAGCACAAACAACAAATATGAAGTCAGTCAGTCAGTGCTTCTAAACGGGTCAGAAACTTGCCTTGCGCGTCACGAAAAGGATTTCCAACAGCTTGTTGCAGACTTTCATCAACAGCTACCTTTTCTGGCTCGATACTCAAGATCAAATGGTTAGCCAGAAAGAATAAGTAACAAGAAACTGTGGTTGCAAACCAACGAAGAGCCAATCGTTCATCAAATATATGTAGGAGAAAAGGGAGATGGGGATTGATCGGGCATGCATTAAGGAGGTCGTCGATTGACATCGTGCTCAGTGTGAGGGTGACATGGAGGAAATCGTGTGGCAAGGAAAAGGAGATGAGAGATTAGGGGCAGCTGATGAAGAGGACGGCAGAAAAAAGAAAGTAGAGATGTGTTGTTTAAGCCGTATGGTCCATTTGGAACCCAAGGGAATATTTATTATAATAAAGAAGACCTAGGCAGAGTACCACAAGAATTAACAAACTGTCAAAATGGAAACTGATTAACACCAGAGTGTCTTAACTCCCTTTCATGGTATTCAAGTATTGGTTTGTAGGGATTGGGTTGATTGGTTACAGGATTTCATCATGAGCTGACATTGGTTAGAGAACCATTGCAAAACCTGCAGGGAGTACTGCCGGACAGCTGTTTCGTCTTTGCTTGGGACTCTTCAGCAGCACGCACCCACCGGGATTCCTTACATGGAATGTTAAACGAAATATCCTTCTAGAAAGTAACATGATGTAAAGTATCAAAACAGAGGCTGAAGTGGTCGAATACGATGTTCCATTTACTACCTTTCTGAGAAGTTGTATCAAGACTGTCAGTGTGATGGAGAATTTAATCAATACGTTACTTTTTCTCTTCCTCCTCCTCTTCTTCTTCTTCAGTATCCTCTTGAAGATGCAACTGGCAGTAGTAGTCACATTGTAGTTATTGAGCTTTCCTGATTGTTTTTTTCCTCTCCGGTTCTTATTCCCTTTCATTTATGGTGTGCAGATAAACAGATAAGTCGTAATAATTCTTTACAATAAAGGTTGTTTTTGTATTTCACAATGAATGAAAACAAAACGATATTATTGTTTTGTTTACTGATGTTTCGCTATTCTTTAATGCTGCTGCTAATAGTTTTATCAAAGTAGAATTGTTAAACCAGAATTTACAAAATCCACTCAGCTTATACATATATACAACAACTTAATCATTGTTCCTCAGCATGGAGTTATTTTTGCGTTGTCGAATTAACCAATTGGTAGAGATAATAACAAAACCAGGTGTAGAGATTGTTGGATTTCATAGGTGTGTAAAATTATAAAATGCTTGGAATGTGATGCGATCTACATCGGACAAACATCACCAGAGAGAAATCAAAATTAGGAGAAATGAACACCGTAGAGCCGTATCTTTTCGACCACCGAGAAACCCAGTTCATGAACTAGAAAAGCTTGAAAAATCATCAGCCAGCCACGATAAAAAATCAAGCCACATAATTGATTTTGACAATATTGAAAAAATCATCCAGAAAAATTTCAGAAATCACAGGGAACGTCTTATATCATCAGAAGCACTTCATATCATCAAATGGAATCCAGTAGGGTGCAGCAGGTCGGGTGTGAAGACAAATACTCGGCGAAGACATTGGCTAGGGGTAGCGCTATGTCGTGAATTGGCAGAAGTTAGAATTCATGGACTGGCCATTGGATCGGGTCCCAGTGGCTTAATGGTATACGAGCTCGCCTTGTAAACCAGAAGGTCCTGGGTTCGAATCCCGGTGGGTGCGTATTGCTGAAGAGTCGCAAAACTAGGGCGATATGAACAGCTGTCCAGTACTCCCAGGTTTTCCAATGGTTCTCTAACTAATGTCAGCTCATGATGAAAATCCTGGAATCCAAATTGTCTGAAGTGAATATGAATGATGGACTAAAACAGAATTTGACCTGGTTACAACACCCTGTCCCTCGTGAAATGGCAAAATCAACGCGATTGTGATAAGGAATTTCACTACATAAACACATGCTGATTTTATAGTTTTACACACTTAGCAAATCCAGCAATCTCTACACCTGGTTTTGTTATCTTTACCAATTGGCCAATTTGACAATGCGAAAATGACTACATGCTGGTTTAATAATTCTACTTTGATAAAGCTATTAGCAGCAGCATTAATGAATAGCGAAACGTCAGTAAACAAAACGACAATATTGGTTTGTTTATTTCTCATTCATTAGGAAATACAAAAACAACCTTTATTATATAATGAATATCACATATACCCAATGCCCAAATTTTTATATCAAACCGTTAAATGTGAACTTGGTTTAGACATATATACATATATATATATATATATATATATATATATATATATATATATATATATATATATATATATAACGTAATAATTCTCAGCTGATTATTGTTTGTAGTGTAATGCAGAATTAAAATAACGCTATTTTCAATACACTCATAGAATCCTCCTTAGTTCGTGATTCGGGTGGGATTTTCGATTCCCAGTTGACGTCCTCTTGAATCTTGCTTAAAATCAGTAATAAAACTGGTAAAGACAGAAAGTTGGGTGTGGGATGATGCTACTGTGGTGAAAGCTGGCTGCTAGCCAAAGTTGGTAGACAGTAATTGACGTCAATGTTTATGTCCCCAATATTGGTGGTGGTGGTGGTGGTGAGAAAATGAGAACAAAGGCTTTGCGAGGTGGATACAGTTAGCATATGGATGATCTGACACAGCCACAAAGAGATGCAAGGTTAACTTTGTGTGAGAAACAACCAATCAACAGACTGTATTTTCTACTAACATTAACCTACAATAATGTACGTCAAAATCTATAAATATGTGTTGATTTTCCTTGATAAAGGATCTGTTGCCTGGCCCTTCCTTGTCTTCTGTTGTTACAGTACTGCTACCGCCACTGAAACTTGAAAGCTCATGCTTGAAGCCGTATGTCCCATGAGAAATGCAAAAAATGAAAATGAAATATTTTTGATACTCATCAAGAAATATACACTGTTGTTATTCAAGCCCCTAGAACTTTGATTGGTCACTGGGTAGTAAGTAGTCAGTGTCATGCGTCAAGTTATTACTCAAGTTTACAGAATGTGTGGTCACCGTGCTGGTGTTGGCTGCTTGCCATCATAGTGAACTGTGAATTGCTGTTAGATGGTTGGTTGAAGAACAGAGTCGGCAAGAGAGCCTTGGAACTAACCAGGTTTCGTGATTGCTGACACTCACTAGTTTGAAAGGAGGCATATGTATGTATCTGCTGTAGTTTTGGAGGAACTCACTCATGCCCGTTCAGAGATTTCAACCAGCCAGCATTCATTCACCCAGTGAATGCTGCAGTCAGAGACGTTACTACTACTACTACTACTACTACTACTACTACTACTACTACTACTACTACTACTACTACTACTACTACTACTACTACTACTACTACTACTACTACTACTACTACTACTACTACTACTACTACTACTACTACTACTACTACTACTACTACTACTACTACTACTACTACTACTACTACTACTACTACTACTACTACTACTACTACTACTACTACTACTACTACTACTACTACTACTACTACTACTACTACTACTACTACTACTACTACTACTACTACTACTACTACTACTACTACTACTACTACTACTACTACTACTACTACTACTACTACTACTACTACTACTACTACTACTACTACTACTACTACTACTACTACTACTACTACTACTACTACTACTACTACTACTACTACTACTACTACTACTACTACTACTACTACTACTACTACTACTACTACTACTACTACTACTACTACTACTACTACTACTACTACTACTACTACTACTACTACTACTACTACTACTACTACTACTACTACTACTACTACTACTACTACTACTACTACTACTACTACTACTACTACTACTACTACTACTACTACTACTACTACTACTACTACTACTACTACTACTACTACTACTACTACTACTACTACTACTACTACTACTACTACTACTACTACTACTACTACTACTACTACTACTACTACTACTACTACTACTACTACTACTACTACTACTACTACTACTACTACTACTACTACTACTACTACTACTACTACTACTACTACTACTACTACTACTACTACTACTACTACTACTACTACTACTACTACTACTACTACTACTACTACTACTACTACTACTACTACTACTACTACTACTACTACTACTACTACTACTACTACTACTACTACTACTACTACTACTACTACTACTACTACTACTACTACTACTACTACTACTACTACTACTACTACTACTACTACTACTACTACTACTACTACTACTACTACTACTACTACTACTACTACTACTACTACTACTACTACTACTACTACTACTACTACTACTACTACTACTACTACTACTACTACTACTACTACTACTACTACTACTACTACTACTACTACTACTACTACTACTACTACTACTACTACTACTACTACTACTACTACTACTACTACTACTACTACTACTACTACTACTACTACTACTACTACTACTACTACTACTACTACTACTACTACTACTACTACTACTACTACTACTACTACTACTACTACTACTACTACTACTACTACTACTACTACTACTACTACTACTACTACTACTACTACTACTACTACTACTACTACTACTACTACTACTACTACTACTACTACTACTACTACTACTACTACTACTACTACTACTACTACTACTACTACTACTACTACTACTACTACTACTACTACTACTACTACTACTACTACTACTACTACTACTACTACTACTACTACTACTACTACTACTACTACTACTACTACTACTACTACTACTACTACTACTACTACTACTACTACTACTACTACTACTACTACTACTACTACTACTACTACTACTACTACTACTACTACTACTACTACTACTACTACTACTACTACTACTACTACTACTACTACTACTACTACTACTACTACTACTACTACTACTACTACTACTACTACTACTACTACTACTACTACTACTACTACTACTACTACTACTACTACTACTACTACTACTACTACTACTACTACTACTACTACTACTACTACTACTACTACTACTACTACTACTACTACTACTACTACTACTACTACTACTACTACTACTACTACTACTACTACTACTACTACTACTACTACTACTACTACTACTACTACTACTACTACTACTACTACTACTACTACTACTACTACTACTACTGAGCTAATCAGGCTCGCGATTGATCTCCTCCTGTAGGACTGCTGTATTGGGTGCTTTGACATTTGTAGTAATTAAGTAAGAGTTCTTTTCCAAGAGCAAATGATATAAACCGTTTTGATGAAACTCTTTAAAAGTCTGTTTAGAAGATAATTATAATAACAGTAAAATGATTTTTTTTCTTTCTCTTCTCCTATTCATTATATGGTGTATTTGCTTTATTTCCATCGTATCTGTTGTTACTTATTGTATATATATATATACATATACATATATGTATGTATTAAAGAATTCGATATCCGAGATGGTACTGGTGTAGGCTATATGGAAATGTTATTCCGTACAAATCTACTGGGTATATTAGGCGGTGGTAATCATTCACGCCTATCAAGCAATGTTGCCTGTTTATGGGATGGAATGAAACAACAATTCCTTTTAGAAATTACTTGTGCAACAGATGTTCGAGGTATTCGTTTAAGACATGATCGGTGAGTAAGTATTGTTCTCTTGCTTTTTTTTCTTCATTCTTTTTATTTGATCTTTTTGTTTTTAAAAAAAAATTAATCCGGGAAAAATTTGGAGATATCTAACTCATTGACTTAAACGCTGGACTTCCACCCCAGTTAAAATAGTCTCGGATCCGGATCCCGCTTAACTTAATTCAACCTCTGTAACTCGGGTAACCGAGTAAATGATGTATTCGTTCATTTGTGTTGACTAGCTTAGCCCGAGATTCGATCCCAGTGAACTCAGTCACATATATGAGATGGTAAATTAGGATTGGGTAGTTGTTTTGTGCTTGTAAATGAAAAACTACTTTGTCCTAGTTTTTGGGGCTCTTCAGCGACATGCACTCAGTGGGATTCGAACCCAGGACCTTTCGGTTGTTACAAGATGAGCTGGTAGACCATTCAGCCACTGGGACCTGGTCCGATGGTCAGCTGAACTCCAACTTCTGCCAATTTGTGATGTTTAGCTCAACTTGTAGCTGGCGGTGGGTGCGTGCTGGAGAAGACTAGGGCGAAACAACTATCCAGTATACTCCCTCGTCTCTTCCAATGGTTCTGATATCAGCTCGCGATCAATACTCTAACCGATAAAATCCTCACCGACCAACACTTGAGAAAACTACTTCAAGGCATCACATTTCTCGACGAGCAGTGTTAGGTGACATAGAATTAAGTTGGGAAACAATTAGGCAGGTGTGTGTGTGTGGCGGGGTTGGAGGTGAAACCAGTCCGTGACGGTTGATTTAAGCCAGTCATGTAGGGAGCTGTAAATTATCTGGTCGCGCGGTGTCTTTAAGACATTAGTAACCAGTGGTTTAAGACTGTTAGTAGTTATGCATATAGCTCAAATCGTTCTCATTGGCTGGCGCAGATGCAGTCATCACTCTTTGTGATCTCCCGCCTTCATTAAACCATATTTTCTTTCCATGTTACCATTATTTCTTCTTTGTACACATTTCTGCTTATCATCGTTCTTTCGAAACTCTTTCTTTTCCTCTCTGTCTGTCTGTCAGTCTCTCCCTTCCTCTTTTGTCTTCCTTTGTGTGTGTGTGTGTGTGCTACATGGAGTTGTAGCAAGTTGAACACTGCTGGTGCACTTTTATGTATGTTGAAACCCAATCAGTCAGTCAGTCAGTCGCACTTGTGATTATTATTATTATCATTGAATTTCAAAAATGTAAATGATAGTTTGTGAATGCACTCGAATAAAGTTCCACCTTTTGTTTTTTTGCAAGAGAAAAAAATGCAATATTGTATTACATATTCAATGTTGAATGAAGTACGCCAAAAAAAAGACTGAATTATTTCTGAAGACTTGTCTCTTTTTTTTTCTTTTTGGTAGTAATTATGATATTTTTGATATGATTGATTATTTGGCATGATTATTCTTTAATGAAAGTGCAGTAATTATACTTTCTCTTTATTATTACTACTATTAATAATCATATTACATTACCTTTCTAATCTGCTGGTAAATTGTCTTTTTTTTAATTTCAACAGAGACTTCTGGTGATAGGGTTGTTTAAAATTTTTGCGTTTTCTAAGGATATTGTTGAATATCAATGTAGATTTTATGACTTATTGACAATACTTAGATTAATCATTGGAAACCAAAGAGTACTGGGCGGGAGGGGGTTGTTTCGTCCTAGTTTTGGACTCTTCATCAGTGTGTACCGTCAGGTGGTTACGAGACCAGTAAAGTATGCTGGCTATTCTCAGCTATTGAGTGAAGGTTTATCAACCGGTTAATTGTAACTGCTGCCAATTTATGATATGGTTCTACTGGCGATCAGTGTCATCGATGAATATCCACTTCACATTGACATCGTAGACCCAAATGTCCACAACTTCTCATTTCAACGTCAGGACCTCCGCTCAGTAACCACTGAGTAGTTGGAGATTTTATATTCGGATTATGGGCAGTAAAGTGTTGTATGACGAATCGAAAAAAGTTGGATTAAATTCCGACTTAGTGGCTAGATGAATTGTCTTGTAACCGGAAGGTCCTGTGCCCCAACTCCACCGGTTGCGTACTTCTAAAGAGTCCAAGACTAGGACGAAACAGTTGTTCAGTGCTCTCAGGTTTTCCAGTAGTCAGCCGTTGATGAAATCCTGTAACCAATCGAATCCCTGCAAACCAACACTTGAATAAATCGAATGTGTTAAGTTGCCATGATATTTTAAAATTCATTATCAATTTCTTTGTAGGCGAACTAATTTCGTAGAAGTTTTTCAGTGAGTATATCATGTATACCGTCTTTGTCATAAAGATTTGCACTAAAACCACTTGTATGGTTTTGTCTCTTCTCTGAGGTTTCTAATATTTATGCCGAATCTTTGACTCCTTGATTTGGTCAGTCAAATTTCACCCTATAATAGGTAGGTAGATAGGTAGGTCGGTTAAAAGGCTCGAGCCCCACTTCTGACCACTCAAGTAATATTTCTACGGAGAAGTTGTTCATTGTTCGAATTCATCTGCCAGGATACAAGTCACACTTATTGTGTAACAGCTGATGATACTATCCAATCTTCCGGACTAAAGTAGGCGGAAAGGGTTTCGAAATCAAGACCCACTATCTGAAAGTTGAGTACCTGGACCAATGGGCCCCATGTAATCCTCATGTAATGGAGAATAAAAGAAGAAAAAAAAATTACTCATGGTTATTCTAATTTGCACAATGTACGCGTTTTGTGCTTCTCTTTTCCTGCATTTTATGCTTTCTATGTACTTGGTTATCCCTTTCCTCTATTGAAAATTCTTACAGACCAAACACATAATATATTACTTACAAATTCTTGTTAGTAGCATACACCACAATATCTTAATACTAACTTTCGTTTTAATAAACCTACTTCATCTCAATGAGTATATTATAGAAATAAATTGGTTGAATGGTTGTTGTGTTGATTTCTATATAAAATTTGATAAAATATGCATTTTCATAAATCGATTATGAAAAGAGTAGTGTTCATCACTATTATTATTATTATTATTATTATTATTACAATTCTATATCTGACTGACGGAATGATTGGCTGTCTGATAAGGTTTCAATACACAGAACCTTGCTCAGAAGTGCACGAGTTCAAATCTCTACATTCCATATATAGCACTGCACTTTGGAGTGTGAGGGCGATTGTTACTTCCTGGCTGCCCACACCGTGGAAGTTGGTTGCGTGACCGCAGAGCCCAAGGGACAACTGCTTGAGGCCGGTCACACACGGCCTGTTTTTGTTTGTTCTTTTTTATTTGGTGTGTCTCAGTAGCGTATTTATCACTTCTGCCCTGTGACACGGCAGCAGAAAGCGCGGTCGTTGTTAATCCGGGCCCCGACCGATCCGGCATGATAATTTGTGTTTTTGTTTGAGTCATGGCATTGGATTGGGTAGCTGCTTTTTGTCTAACCGCTATCCAAACAACCTTCCTGGCATGGTAGGACCTACAGGAACTTAAGTTCCAGCCAGTGTAGCTCGTGGGGTCATTGCGGTGTTCAAGCCCGACCACCACGTCAAGGTAGCAGCTTTCGGTCGGGCATATATAGCACACAAAGATATGGGGAAAACAAAATCCAAAAAGAACCATATAATAAACAGGCCGATGACCTAATTGATCTGGCAGATTTACAGAAAGTCAATGCAGGTTTTGTTTCGCACTACTTTAAACTGTCTTCTAACCTATTCCTATGTCAGATAAAATATATTGCTTGATAACGGGAAGTCAATGTTTCAGGGGATGTGCAAAACGGTATCCTAGTCATGTCATCGATTGAATTCCCCTCCTTACCTAGTATACTCTACGCCTAACTTCAATATAACTCACCATAGTACATCACTACTTAATACGCGAAATAAAAAATAAACACTTGTGAGTTGATTTTAAATAAAAATCTTATGTTCTTCACTGGATTCGGAGAGGCGAAATAATGTGAGCCCTTCGGGAAGCCAGCCAGCCAGCCGATGTGCCTTCTCTCTCTCTCGATGAAAGCAAGAATAAGAATGGGGGGGGAAGTGGAATTTCCGTACAATGTACGAGACTGGGAAGGCTGCCCAAGTAGCCAAGATATGGCATACAAGTTCTGGGTATCTGCGAAAGCAGATGGAACAGATGTGGATTATCCAAATTGTCAACTAGAGAGTCAGTCTGTTATCCCTGATGATATTCTTAATTGGAGGTGGACTGGATTATGCGTCAGACTGTGCATGGGAGTGAGGAGACAGCAGTACACTGGACCACCGATAAGAGGACTGTAGAAAGTCTGGACTTCGCAGGTGATATATATGTCTAATGTCACACAAACTCGAAGACTTGCATGCGAAAACCAACAAACTGGCTGAAGAGGCTGGCATCGAAGACAGGACTCCAAGTGAACATAAAGAAAACGGAAGTGATGAAGATAACCAACCAAGGAACAACGACAACAGCAACCAGCACCAGTCACAATCAACTGGAGAGATTTAACAGAGGCTACCTCCTTCACTTATCTGGGAATCATCGTTTCAACTACATGTGGAATAGATGAAGATGTCAAAGCCGGAATTGGAAAGGGCAATATACGCCTTCATCAACCTGAAACTAGTTTGGAAATCTTCTGCACTCAGCACAAGGAACAAGATTTGGATTTTCAACACCAATGTCAAGTGGGTCCTTCTATACGAGTCGGAAACTTTCACTGCGTGTCACGAAAAAAGGATTTCCAACAGCCTGTTGCAGACTTTTATCAACAGCTACCTTTGCTAGCTCCGTGCTGAGGATCAAATGGCCAGACAGCCAGCCAGAAAGAATTAGCAGCAAGAAAGTCTGGTTGGCAGCAAACCAATGAAGAGCCGATCGCTCAAAAAATATGTAGGAGAAAATGGAGATGGAGTGGGCATACATTGAGGAGGCCGTCGAATGACATCGCGCTTAGTGCAGGCCATTGCTCAAGCGGAATCCCAATGGGAAGCGACGAGTGGGTCGTCAGTGGGAGGGTGACATGGAG